GCCCCGTCAGAGGGTGGTATAAACACCTGGAGCGCACGTTGCCTTCTGAGTGGGAAAGAAGTGCTTCAAAGTGACTACAGCTTCGATGCCTGCATCAAAAGGAGCTTGGGTGTGCTGGATTGTGCGGTTCCTTTGCAGCGGTTGTTGCAGCGCAGCAAGGTCTGCCTGACTTTGGTAAGTGTGCCTCTGCTTGCTCAAACGCTGAGTGCGGACGGCCAAGTAAATGAACAAGTGTCTAAAGGGTTAGCGCATGTAGCAACGGGGGCTTGGTTGTTCTTGCACAACCAAAGCTACTGCACTGCCGCATTTAGTTGCAACGAGGTGCCTTGTAGCTCATGACAAGCCGCCTCCTTTTCGCACGAGTCTCAGCGCATTGGGCCGCCATGCCCAGGATGCCTGGAGACCGGCGGGGACCGAAGCTGTTTTAGCGGAACTCTTTTGGGCTTTGACCCAAATGCAGCTCGTGACGTTCCTCAGCTAAAATCGGGGACCCTCGCTAGATGCAGCAAGAAGTGCTGCAACGCAGAACAGTCCCTCTCTGCAGTGGCAATCCGCGCTCTCAGCCCAGCACAGTTGTGGAAATGCAATACAGTCGAACTATTGAGGAGATGATTTCCCCCCAGCTAACCTCCNATCCAGGCCACAGCTACACAAAGGCCTGGGGCTGGGGCGTCTACGAACCTGCTTGCCATGCGTTCCAAGGCAAACCCTGCCTCAACTGCTGATGCAACGCAACCCCAAATGCAGCCGCATCCAAGCACAATTTTAATGTATGGACTAATACTATTTACAGTTGTTAAACACCTGTGTGCGGCCGCGAGTCCAACCGAAGCACAGGGAAATAGGTGCACCAGCATCAGACTAACCGTGCTCCAGGCATGCCAGAGTACGAAGAAACTGTTTTACTGGAGCCGTCCGATTTGCTGTTGCTCAACGGCGAGGCACTCGCCTTCGGACCGCGCCTCACTAGCGTCCCCCAAACGCTTCACAGCGACCCGAATGCCGAATGCAGGCACGGGCGTGGAAACTCCGGGGTGTATGCACAAAACACGTTGGCAGTGGCAGTGAAGTACCAGTGCCAGGGCCCAGAGCCATTTTGTTCAAATTCCAAAGGGCGAAAGCAAATACCTTCTGTCAGGAGACACCTTCACGCAACGCAGTGCAGTAACACGAAAAGTAGACAAAGCTGTGTTTCCCAGATATCGCACTAAATTTTGCTTATTCACTTTAGCTGCCAGCCCCGTTCTTGCAGCCTTCATTTTTCAAGCAGAAGCAAGTCACCTACACAACTGCTGCCTTTAGAATCTAGTGTTAACTGTAACGCTTCTTGGGAGAAATTGTTGAGCGTATCCGTCAACACGTAGGATGGGTCAGAAGTCGTCGCGTAATAGCGGCTGACTTCTGATGGAGGCAAATGCACACAATACAAACGGGTCTCCTCTCAAAATCCAAATTAGTGTGTTTGTCCTCCGTCGTTCCCCCTCCTTTACTACGATGTATGCGAGAGCCGCATCGCTAGCTGAACACGTCTACTGCGCATCGGTGCGAGAGCCCTGCCTCCAGCGATCGAAATCCGGCCTTCTAAAACGCGCAGGAGAAGACGGAGAGCAGAAGAGCATGCGTTTCAGATGGAAGAGGTCTGCGGGTGCAGGTCGTTTTCCCCCTTTAAGTGTTTTTATTGCCGCGCTGAGTTCCCGAGCAAGAGTGTAGGCGGCAGTCACTCGGCTTTCGCCGAAATATCCCGTGGGAGCGGCGTGACTAATGGTATCTGTGAACAGCTTCCAGTCTCCAGGTTCCGGGTCCTGCCCGAGAACTATAAATGTGGAAACCACAGCATCCATCAAAAGAAAACGCAACCCCAATCTTTCAAGTGCGCGGCTGGCCTGGTGATGCGTCAGGTCCACAGACTGATGGTTCATCCCGTGCTCTACCAAAGCCCCTGCTACAAGCGCCAATTCCTTCAGTTCATCCAAACACAGAGCACGACGCGACAGCAGATCATACGCCATCTGAAGAAGTGTAACAACGTCCCGTCTGCCGGGATAAGCCGTCACGGCGCGCCTCAAGTCAACCCGACACGACGCCGGAGTCGGGCTCACTAATCGCTGTGGCAGACTCACAAAGGGATGGTCGTACATAGAAACAGGAACCTGCGGCGGCGTTCCTGACAGGACCACGATTGCCGAATTCGATCCAACTGCGGGTATGGCGTAAGCTCGTGTTGGTGCTGTTCCAGCAGCTGCTGCTCCAGCACTTTCAGCACTCCAAGGAGTGCGTAGATGCGGATCGATCGGCACAGCAAAGTGCATGCTTTCTCCCGCCTTCGTTGGTGTAGCAGAGGACACATCACCAGCATGCAAGTCACTCCCTGCTCCAGTGCCTGCTGCAGGACCTCCAGGAGCTTCCTGCCTTGATGCCTCAGCAGCGGCAGCAGGCGG